TTCCCACCTTCTCCCCTTCCCCCTCTCCTCTCCCTCTCCCCCCCCACCTCATTCTCCCTCCCTTCTCACCCCTCCCCCTGCTTCTCAACCTTTCTTTCTTCCCTTCCGGCATAAGTGCGTGTGATGATCCCAGAGGAAAACAGCCCGGGCACAACAAACAGCTGTTGTATTTAGGGGGAGAAGCTAAAATAAACATTTTTTTGAAGCGCCACAACCGCCTGGCCGAGCGTGCTTCTCCACCCTCCTCCTCCTCTTCCTCCTCCGGTTCTCTTGCTTTTTCCTCTCTCTCTTTCTCTGGGCATTGATTTTTTTTTTTTTCTATCTCCTTTCTTTTTCCTGTCTCTCTGTTCCTTTTTTCACTTACCTACCCTCTCTCTCTCTCTCTCTCTTCTCTCTCTCTCTCTCTCTCTCTCTCTCTCTCTCTCTCTCTCTCTCTCTCTCTCTCTCTCTCTCTCTCTCTCTCTCTCTCTCTCTCACTCACACACACGCTCTCTCTCTCTCTCTCTCTCTCTCTCTCTCTCTCACTCTCTCTCTTCTCTCTCACACACACACACACACTCTCTCTCTCCCTCTCTATCTGTCCTTTCTCTCTCTCTCCCTCTCTCCCTCCCCTCCCTCCCTCCCTCAGATATTAAGTGTGGATGATATTGGCTTTTTGTAAAGAAGGCAAAACGTATCGACTTTCTGCAACAGACGATCTAGTGTTTTTTTCTTTCTTTTCCATTTTTTCAGACCAAGACATATAAAACACCCGTATATTGTTAATGCATTTTATTCTGCAGAACTGAATTAGACTTCCGTGGAAATAAAAAGCTTTGATAATCTTATTTTTAGTCAGTAATTTCGAGCACAACATTTTTCCATTTGAATCCATTTTTTTTTCTGCGAGTCCCAAATCATTGAAAGATTTTTATTGGGTGATAATTAACTCATTTATCCCTTTTTGCTGTTGCATGAAAATCCCACAATTTTTTTCAGGCCAGAAGTCGTTTGATCTGAAAAATAATATTTCAATACACAAAGTACTTCCAACACTCACTGTTAATTTGTAATTTACCTTCCCAAAACCTGTAAAAAAAATATGCATCGCACATCCACGAATCTAAAACTCGGAAGAGGGAGTAAAAATAAAAAGGCGAAACTCCATTGCTTTTGATGTCAGATAAAGCTCCTTGTTGGCCACACGCAAGCAAAATTCCGATGCTCTTAATGGCGAAGCTCTTTTGACAAATTGAAAATAGCTCATGGATATCGACCCTCCCTCCCTCCTCGAGAGACGTCCCCCCAGATACCCCGGAAAGACCCAGGGACCCCGAGATACTCCCAGATACCCCCGAGCCCCAGGGACCCCAGACTCCCAGATACCCCCTTAGAGCCCCCAGGACCAAGTCCCAGGACCCAAGACAGATATATTCCCAGATACCCCTCCAGGGACCCCAAGATACTCCCCCGCCTCGGAGCCCCAGGACCCAAGATACTCCCAGATACCCCCCTTAGAGCCCCAGGACCCCAAGATACTCCCAGATACCCCCTGAGAGCCCCCAGGGACCCCATCCAGATACCCCTCAGAGCCCCCAGGGACCCGAAGATACTCCCAGATACCGCCTCGGAGCCCCCAGGGACCCCAAGATACTCCCAGATACCCCTCGGAGCCCCCAGGACACCAAGATACTCCAGATATAGAGCCCCAGGACCCCAAGATACTCCCAGATACCCCCTGAGAGCCCCCAGGGACCCCAAGATACTCCCAGATACCGCCTAGATACTCCCAGCCCTTAGAGCCCCAGGGACCCCAAGATACTCCCAGATACCCCCAGCCCCAGGGACCCCAGATACCCCCAGATACCCCCTCAGAGCCCCCAGGGACCCCAAGATACTCCCAGATACCCCCTCAGAGCCCCCAGGGACCCCAAGATGCTCCCAAATACCCCCTTAGAGCTCCCAGGGACACCAAGACACTCCCAGATACCCAGGATACCCCCTAAGACACGTGCATATCCCCCAGATAGGTCCAGACCCAGATACCCCAGAGATCCCCAGTCTTCCAGGATACTTCCAGAAACCCCCTGATAACCCCGAACTACTCCCAGATAGGCCCCCCCCCCCCTTGTTCTGCATCGTAAAACACGTATCCGACATCCACCGAGCTCATCAGATATGCATGCAAGCGATAGACAAGGGAGCTACATTATCCGGCCAGATGTTGCAGCTCCCGAGGTCAGTCCGGATAATGCGCGGGAGCATGAGACTTGCCCCCCCCCCCCCAAGGAATCTCCAAAGTTGCTTCGGGACATATTCTTGCATCAGCTCTCTCTCCCCCGCTGCAAGCAAAAGCAACACGGCAAGGGGACACGAGTTGAATAGCGAGTGACTGGGGAATGGGGGGGGGGGGGGTAGGGGGGTGGGGGGCTTAGGTAACACCCTCTGGCTTCTCGTGAGGTAAATAGAAGCACAATATGGTGAAATGGTGTGTACGTGTCCGTATCGCCGTGCCATGCTGTCATATAAACACTAATGAGGGATTTTATACGAATAACAGAATAGTTATGGTATGAACGGGATAACTGTATACCTTTGATTCTCTCTTTATCCAGTAATCTCTTTTATGAATACGGCATATTCGGCATGGAATTGTTATCATTACTTTATTGTCGTTGTTATTATCATTATCACCGTCATCACTATCATCCTTTTTATCATTTTCATCATTATCATTAATATTATCGTAATGTACCATTTTGATTTTGAGTGTGTACGTATAATCTGACAGGTGATTGATGATTGATGGATAGATAGAAAGAAAGAATCGTTTTCTTAATAAGTAATGCTCTAAGCCTATGATTGACAACCGTGTCGAATTTCGCTGTTAAACCCTTCAAAAGAAACCATTTGTACCCTCTTGTTCAGAAGCATTACCATTCACCCAACCAACCCCTTTCATATGATAATAACTGCTCCTAAATCGGAATGATTATTATCAATCAGTTTTATTGCACGTTGGAAACCTCGTCTTCGGGACCGGTTTTGAGACTCCTCCTCCAGTTTTTTTTTTTTTTTTTTTTTTTCGAAGATAAGTTTGTCTAACAGGGAAAAAAAAGTTTTCCGAACTGACTTCGTCTAACAGAAAAAAATAAGAGAAAGTTTAGCGAATTATTGACTTCGTCTAACAGAAAAAATCAGGGAATTTTAGCGAATTAAATCTTGTCAATATTCGTACACCTGCTTGCTTGCCATTTCCTCGGGCACACACTCTGCATACATAGTCAAAAGCGAATCCATGTGTCCATACTCATATACGCACAGAGAAAGCATTTATGTGCACATATATGCATATATGCAGACACACATGCATAAACCTATTAGTATGTATACAGAGGGTTCTAACACATGAATGTAAATATTATGTACGCCTGCACATGGGTACAGAGCAATGGGTTTATGAGACACCTACACGACCACACTATCACCACATATTCGAATAAATGGTCGACACACATTCACTTACTATTTCAAAACTTATTCTTGTCGGGTGCACAGAGATCTTTTGTGAATAGAATGCTATACTTCCGAAAGAGAATTGTGTTTGGAGAATAAACTTTTTTTTTTTTTTTTTTTTTTTTTTTTTTTAGAGGCATTGCTGTTCTTTCACAACGATCTTTGTCATGTAAATGAATTTTTTTTTAAGTGCGTTTTTTCTTGTATGCAAATGAATGGCATGATGCTGTTGTTTCAAAGAAGTATGATAATTATTGTTCGTTTTATCGTCGTCATCTTTTCATTACCATCTACATTGTTGTCATTATAATCCTTATCATTGTCAGAATTACCATTAATATTTCAACTACAACCATTACTACAATCATCATCATCATCATCATCATCATCATCATCATCATCATATCATCATCATCATTCATAATCATCTCATCATCATCATCATCATTATCATTATCATCACCATCATCATAATCATCATCATCATCACTCTCATTAATGTCATAATTTTCATCGCTGTTCTCGAAGTTTTTTTACACTTACTACCATTACCATTAATTATTCTTATCATAATCACATCCATAAGAGTTAATACTATAATAATAACAGGAGTAGTAGCTCGAAGTGACATCACGCCCGCACGGTGATGTCGCTGTGACTTCCTGTGGTGTTGACGTCCGCCTTTCACGGAGGAGCCGAGATAAGAGTGCCATCTGCCTCGCCCTCCAGTGGCACCCCTCGACGCCCGAGGTTCATCAAAGCGGCGGAAAGTACTCGGGACTTTTTGTTTCGATACGAGCTCTCTGTCTCTCTCTTTCGCTGTTTCTCGTTCTCGTTCTCTTTCTCGGCTCTCGCTCTCTCGCTCGCTCTTTCTCGCTGTCCGCTCTTTCTGCTCTCTCTCTCGCTCTCTTCTCTCGTCTCTTGCTTTCTCCTCTCTCTCGCTCTGTGTTGTGTGTGTTTTTCTCTCCTCTATTTATTTATCTATCTATCTCTGTCTATCTCTCGGAGCTTTTCTCTCTCTCTCTCTCTCTCTCTCTCTCGCTCTCTCTCTCCTCTCTCTCTCTCTCTCTCTCTCTCTCTCTCTCTCTCTCTCTCTCTCTCTCTCTCTCTCTCTCTCTCTCTCGCTCTCGCTCGCTCTTTCTCGCTCTCTCTCTCGCTCTCCCCTTCTTTCGCCTCTCTCGATCTTTCTTGCTGTCGCTCTCTCTCTCTCCTTCTCTCTCTCTCTCTCTCTCTCTTCGTTGTCGTCTTTTTAGAATTCATGTTTTCTTATCTTCTTTCCTCCTCTTTCGTTATCGTCTTATTAAGATTCGAGTTTTCATGTGTCTTATTTTCTTTCTTCCTTCTTCTTCTTGAACGTGTTTCTGCTTTATCAGTTTTTGCGTTTGTTTATAATGCGTGTTTTTTTATGAGTTGCATGCTCTCTCTCCCTCTATTTCTCGCTTTGTTTATCGGTCTGTTTCTTGATTTGTTTATTTCTATTTATTTATCGTCTTATCTATTTGTGT